GCTCCTTCTTATGGACGCTGTGGTATGGGTAAAAGTTGCCTTCAATAAGCTGCTAAAGGGCGAACACGAAATTATTGCGACACCGAAAATGTCATGCCAATTTTCTTATAATGTTTAGAATCAAACCAAAATTTTAGGGTAGTTTTATACATATATTTACTTCAAAAATCAAAAGAAAAGTTAATCGATGAGGCCTTGAGTGTAAAATTGAACGCATTTTCGCTTGATGCCCTCCATCAAAGTCTTTACAGTGTCATCCGGTACCAGTTTCTCAGTTTTTTTTTTCCATTTTCTTAACATGTCCTTCTCGTCTTTGACTGTCTTCTTGCTCTTCCGAAGTTCCCGCTTCATTATTGCCCAGTACTGCTCCACCGGGCGCAGCTCCGGACAGTTTGGCGGATTCATGTCCTTTGGAACAAAATGGACAGAATTGGCCTCATACCACTCCAGGACACTTTTAGAATAGTGGCATGATGCCAAATCTGGCCAAAATAGCGAAGCTTCGCCGGGCTGCTACAAGAACGGCAAAAGGCGCTTCTCGAGGCACTCAGATTTGTAGATCTCGCCATTTACTGTGCCCTTTGTCACGAAAGGCTCACTCCTCAGTCCGCAAGAGCAGATGGCCTGCCAAATGAGATATTTGGAGGCGAACTTCGACATTTTCTTCTTCTTAAATTTGTCGTCCACATCGAACTTGCTCTTGCCGGTGAAAAACTCCAACCCCGCAATTTGCTTAAAATCGGCTTTTATATACGTCTCGTCGTCCATCACACAGCAGCCATATTTTGTCAGCATCTTCTCGTAGAGCTTCCGTGCCCGAGTTTTAGCCGTCGATTGTTGCCGCTCATCGCGGTTTGGGAAGTTCTGTACCTTGTATCTATGTAGTCCAGCTCTCTTCTTTGCATTCTGGACGTAGCTCTGCGACATTCCGATCTTTTTAGCCAAATCACGGCTTCCCGGTTTTCTTCCAGCTCCTTTGCCGTGGTCCAACGTCAACCGCTCCTGGAACCGCTTCAACACTCTGGAGACGGTTGAATGGTGAATGTTCAACATTTTTCCCAACTGCCGGTGCGACAGGTCAGGAAATTCCAGGTGTTTGGAAAGAATTTGTTCTCTCAACTCGCGTTGGTTCACCTCCATTTTCGTTGAAATGAGTTTGACAGCATGTACACAATACACATCAATGAGAAAGTGTGCAAAATTTGGTTGATTTTTACCCAATGGTAAAAAAGTTATGCCCTGTTGAATGTGTCGCAATAATTTCGTGTTCGCCCTTTACTTAAAGATACGAACTACTTAAACATTAAGATGGCCATACAATAAATTTGTTTAGTTGGCTATCGATGAAAGAGACGTAACATACTTTCGCCAACTAGTGTTGACCAGACCCTCACCATTCGCAATTCCCTGAAATCTTCAATATTTCTAAAAAAGTTTCAAAAAATTTCCTAAAGTTAATGGCCATGATGTTCTTTGATCTTCCAGGAGGTTCACGCAATTTAACTGAAGGTTTCGAAAACTGAACCTGAAACTGAAAACTGAACTGGTAGATTTGCCATTTTGCCAAATGTTTATGGATTTTTCCTCTGGGTACAAGTTAAAACCAAAGATTTAAGTAAACTTAAAGGAGAAAAATCTATTCAATTCTCTAATAAGCATTCCGCTAACAATCCAATTTCATTACTTCATTATGATGGCTACCAAGCGTTTGGGATTTTCCTTATTAGAGAATTGAATAGATTTTTCTCCTTTAAGTTTACTTAAATCTTTGGTTTTAATTAGTTAGGTAGGTTCCTATTCAACACATTGTAGTTTCATTTTTATACCTGTGATCTTGACTTTTATACCTAAGGGATGAGTACTTAAGGGGGTTAGATTTTGAATAGTTCTTTAGTGGGAATGACACTGATGAAGACTGCACATTGTAGTCGAAATACGTATCTGTCATGGATACCAAAACTTATTAAGTGAAATTAAATGGAAGATAACCTTTTTTTTTGCTGTTTTATGCATTATGAAATCATAAAAACCATTGATGGTTTTCACCCAATTGCTTGAGCTTGAGCTTGATTGACCGCCCAGGGTTTCTACTCTGTTATTGCCAGATCAGCTGTGAACAGAGAACCAATAGACGATGCTTGGGACTAGCAATCATCCTCAATGTGTAAAAACTGGTGATCTTAAATTAGGTAATACCAGCGCCGGCCGCACCCGAACACAGGTCAAGAAAGGAATGGGAAGGATTGTGTTGACATGACACTCGCTTTGATGGAAGCCGAGAACACCTCTGCACTTCCACGAGGAATCACTGGGATGTTGGATAAGAGGGTTGGGTTTGCAGCAGGGTTCGTTTTGGTAAACGATAAGCTGAATTGATGTCCTAACGATCATATAACGCGAAGGAGCTTGGGACTAAACCCACGGTCTTCTGCTCAGTAAGCAAAAACGTTTGCCACTAGGCAGACGAGCACCTTTTTAATCACCGAGTTGCTGTTATTACCATGTAGTCATATTAACAAATAAAACGATTGACGAATCTTGAATGTGGATGGGCCTGAGATTAGACTCATGATGTTCTGCTCAGTAAGCAAAAACGGTTGCTCTAAGGCCACCGAGCCCCTCGTATCACATAATAACGTTGCTCAAATTTATGTATCCATTCAAACCCGGAACCAACGACAACAACGAGTTTCGCCAAATACACGATACACAAGCGATTTTACCATAAATCTCTTTGATATGTAAGGACCTGGGACAGCGTTTTTCTGCTTAGTAAGCAGGCCACTGTAACCGACGATCTTTCAAATCCAAAAACTAAAAACTACGAAAAACTACTTAGGCCTTCATTAAGTTCCACTTTCACGCGACGTTCAATGACAGGGTCCTATCCAGGATTACATCTGAAAAATCCAAATCTGGCCAACGCCCACCTAAACCTGTTCTAATCCACCTGAAATGACTAACGAATGGAAGACTTTGACTACCCAGCCATGCAATAGTCTCATTCCGTGCCTTATGGCAACTTGATGATTCTATTGCGCTCATCTTCTGGCACCACCCAGGGGAGACTTGGTCCTGTACCCAATGCTTAACTTATCTCCATTCCACTCAGCTACTCGCGATTTCTTGTGATATAGTGGGCGGAATATTATTATATGAGACAATTCAATGCAGACGTCTTTCCAAATTTGGCAGATCGACAGGTAATCGGTGAGTTACCACGATAGTTGCTATTCAACAACTCGACAACGTCCCATCGTCAACGCCTGCTATGAGAATTTCTCATTGCAGACGCCAACGAAATGACGTCATCGAGCTATCGATCAACTACCCTGGTTATCGCCTGGTACCTTATAGCACGATGCTAGGAGGCGAACCGGAAGAATCGATGAGCTACCTCTCCCCCTGTGCTGTCGATCGACCGGTTTTCGAGAAGTACTCAACCATGGTCTGTCAGAAATAACCACGCTCGGATAGCAGGGTTAATCGATAACTTTCCATCTGTCAAATTTTAACCAAAAGTAAAAAAAATCCACCAAATGGTTCAGAGCCTAAAAATAAAAATTTCTTGCTAAAAGCCTGGAGCAGAAAAAAACAGTTTAAGGGTTTTTCAGTGAAGTGAAAAGGTAAGGAAAAATCCATCATGTTTTACGTATATCAGTTGCTTATATGATTTGCCAATAAGAGTAAAGAGTAACAAATTCATCGTAGATGCAAAACTACTGTTTATAAACATAACAATCGAATGCTTGATCGAATGTAAACAGTCATGGACGTGGTGCCAGAATTAATAGAAAATTTTAATGGAAGTGTGTTTGGAGTGTGTCGAACTGTGTTTTTGGAGTTTTAAACACAAGGTGGCAGAGTGAGTTACCCCTTGAGCTTAAATCAGATTACACCACCTGATCAAACATCCTGAGTGCGGCTCTGATGGTGATGTGCATCTAGCGAGTAGTGGTTAGACATAAGTCTACTTATCACTCAGAACATTCTTTAGAAATTAAGCGGTGCATTTTAACAATTGTGTTGCTAAATTTTAAATAAAGTATGGATCATAGTAAAATTTTTACGGATCATTCTCACTTTTTTAGGGATTTTCACCGGGGTTTTGAAAGATCATTAGGGCGTTTTTCAAGGAAAATTTTTCATTTTTTGATGGTTCGTTTAATTGCTCAAATAAATTTCATCATAAGGGAGATTGAGAGATTTCTTTTGCGCTTAGGTGCCATGGCGGCAGAGGAAAGTTTCTCCAAATCGACTTCCAAGCAGATTATTTTAAGAATCCGAAGGATCGAAGAGGAATTTTCCAAATCGATATCCAAGTAGAATTACCTCTGGTAGGGTAACCAAACAAGGAACGAAGAAGAAGAAGAATCGAACAAGGTAGAAAATTCGCAGGAAATATTTAGCACTGAGAAGTGCTGTTAAAATGTGTTGTAGCTTTAGGTAGCAGCACGATGCGGACTGAATTTATTCAACCTAAATATGGTTTCTGTGGGTCAGGAATGCAATCTAGCGGGGCTAAATCGTGGACACTCAAATCAACAATATTAACATAATTTACGTTTTCAAACTGAAAATCAACTTTATATAATTCCTACGTATGACTAAAATAAAAGCTTGTCCAAAACTGTTAAATACCAATTTTTAATTCTAGGATTAAGCCGTTTCAAATAAATTCTGGGAAATTTTCGTTCGTTGTACCAGTCTACTGCAACAACAGCTCATATTTCTAAAGTGTACGTGGTATATCCATTTATGCTGAAAAGTCAATATTAATCATCAGGCTCATAAGTAGAGTGCTTGAGGCTAGCCAATTGTTGACACTTATCTACGCGGATAATTGATTGCAATCATCATCAATGAATGGCCTTCTTCCAACTGGATGCATTGATACTTTCTCTATGATGGGCTTGGGATTTTCCCTACGTCACAATGAATCGATTCTTCAATCACTTGAAAAGCTATTAAATAGGAAAACATTTCTTCTTCCATTGCAGACCGTCAATAATGGAACTCCTAGTATCGCAAACCACTGACCAGTGCGAGGCGAACCTGCAGTCAAACTCTCGCCGCACTAGCAGCTGTGGGATCGTGAATCCGGCAGCAACCCTAGATCTCGACGACACCGGCAGTATTATTAGTGATATCTCGAAAATTCCACGCGTGCCCGGTGATGGGGCCGCCCAGGTGGAAGAAGTGGATCAGACGTGCGGTGTGGCCAACTTGGAGCTACGGAAGCAGGAACGACTTCCATCGCTAGCCCTACATCAACCGGAAGTTGAACGGAGCCAGCAGCCAATGATGAGCAACGGAGATCTGCGACAGTCTGCCGAAGCACGAAGTAAGTCGAAACGTTTGGTTAATTCAAATTCCATACGGTAACCGTACGGGAGACTACATCACTTCCGGTTGACACATGCACCGGGCCTAGACCACACAAATGGTTTCATCGTTTCATCAACCAATTCACAGTGCTACAGTGACGCCGAATGTTTGTTTTGGGGGTATATATAGTAGAATGAGGTTTGCAAAAGTTCTGTATTTTTATTGGGAAAATGCTTACAAACCCTGCAAACAACTCTCTTTATATTTACTTTATTAAGTTATATCATTACATTTACAATTGTATCCCAGAGTGGTTTTAAAATAATCCTGGATAAAATAATGCTTAGATAGACTCATAACAGCCGTTATTATGGTTGTCTTGTCTTAGCACTTCGAATTTTTTATGGTACGAATCTCAGCAACTACAAAGATATTGTATACGAAATTACATCTGCATTAATGGTGCAGCGCAAATGTGATATAGGGGAAATGACGGCTTCGGGACTTTTTTACCTATTATCGTCACGGGTGTAAATGAAGTATGGTCAGTGCTGATTAATGGGTGATTACAGAAGGGGTGACTTAAAGCTATTTCACAAAATTCAACTGATTTTCATGACTCGCGGATTTCTAAAAAAAAAGTGTGTCATCTGCCTCGAATTATTGATGAACGGATAAATGTCTAGCCACCCCCCAAATTAGGCGCTTATGCCATCCAACAATTCTCACTCCCAAGGCATAAGTACAGGTAGCGCTTACTCATCGTCATCCTTATATGTGTACCATTGTTATAATCCCCCTCTCTCTGATTTGACGACGATATCACCAACCACCGGCCATGCAGAATGCGATAAAGGTGATAACACGACTCATCATTATTTCTAGCTAGCGTATATATTTTTTCCCCCCGTATTCTCAATGTATACAACTAGATAGGTGGCGATGTGGCTTTTCCCTCGAGTTTTTCCACATCCTGGCTTTGTGCTGCTGCTGCTGCTGTTGCCCTTGTCACGCTTCGGCCATCCCAGCTCCAGTACGCCAAGAGAGGTGTTGGGGGTCTCGCTGATAACCAATGGAGGGGAATGACTAAATTTAGCGCTCATCGCATATCCGTGAACACGACCTGCAGAATCGCGCAAAGGAAATTTATCGATTATTTAATTGAGCGAATATAGGGTACGTGTGTGTGTGTTTGTGTATGCCTGGGAAAAAGTCATGGAACGGGTTCGAGGAATTGGTGCTGACAGGCAGGCACGGCAGAACGGTCATCAAACATTGTCAAAGTGCGACCCAACCAATGTTCTCTCTCGCTTTACGGATATGTCTATGTCTATGCATATGCTGCTTCTCTGCTGCTGCTGCTACTCACTAACTGATGAGAGTTCGGATTTTATTTATGGGACTTGTTTTATCCTCTGTGCTGTGTTTTTTTTTCGTTTGCTGCTAGATTTATTGTTTTGTCGTGGTAGCCGGGAAATTTTATGAGGACAGAGGCTATGCATCTCGTGGTCTCATATGTGTCCCACAGGAGGGCCTTGTTCCACTTCCTTTTTTGCGAGGCTCAGGCACATAATATGTAGGTACATAGGGTACATGTGTCAGTGTCATTGTTTACAGGACAATAAAAGGCGTCTTTGATTATACTTTCACTTTGGGTTCGTTAACGAGTTAGTGAGGTACACTCGTTCGGTCGCGCCTATGTGCTGATGATTCTGACTAGGTATAAGTCTACGTGATGGGGATGACTTAATTATATTTGAATGAGAGTTGCGAGATAATTAACGGGAAGTAATTTGAAGGCAGTTAATTATTTATTCGAATAGCGTTTCTTTTAGTTAAAATTCTACTCGAAATGCAGCACTAGTGTTACACAAGAGAGAACAGAGAAAATGAGAAGTCGTGTCTATCTTTTAAGGAGCAGATACTGAGAAGCAAGTACACATGATGAGATGAATACAACAATGTGTATGAGAATGTTCCTGCGAAAAAAATATCTGCGCTATGTAATCTCGCAGGAATGGAGATGAGATTGAAAATGTACACATGTACATACACAGATATTTTCCGATCACGTCGAGTTTAATCGCTTGACATACAAGTCAATGAGCAATGCCTAAATTAAAAACCCGAATTTATCCACCTATGGTGTGATCAGACCCTTCTTACTTATTCAAGTTTATTTATTTTATTGTCATTATCAGTGACCAAGCCCCCCCCCCCCCCCCGTGTCATCCAGTGACGCTACGCCACTGCCTGGGGGTACCCGGAATATATCCGGGTGTAGTCTGTTTGGTGAGGCTACCAATCACCTTATCATCGTATTTTAATGTGATTTAATGGGTTTTAATTCAATTCATATTCAAGCAACTTCCCCGGGGTACCCGGAACATGTCCAAGTGTGTCCAATGTGGTCTGGAACACTTAACACGACTTGCATTGATCTTATTTTTGAATTCTGTAGTAATTTGATGTGTCGCATGATGGTTTTGATACGTTTTCCGTTAAATCCAGCGTGAAGGCCCATATTCACCGGATTTTATTCCGGCCATATCTCCGGAACCGGTTCACCGATTCCAAAACCGTTCAATAGCGTTCAATGGGACCCCAAGACCTATCATTTGGCGCCGAGTTTGTCCAAATCGGTTGAGCGGTTGCTGAGAAACGTGAGCGCATTCATTTCGTTACATACACACACACATACACACATACACACGTACACACACACACACACACAGACATGTTCCGATCTCGTCGAGCTGAGTCGAATGGTATATGACACTCGGCCCTCCGGGCATCGGATCGATAGTCGGTTTTTCAAGTGATATCTATACCCTTCTTTGTAAGAAGGGTAAAACATTCTCAAAAATTTCGTTTTCGAGTTTTTTATTTATTCAAAGGGGGGATGTTTCTCAGAGTCTTAAACTATGTTAATCATCGATCGAGTTTCCACTTGCTGCAATTACGGCCTCCACACGCTTCCGGAATGCACGGCAGGTTCTAATAATGTAGTCTGGATCCATTTCTCTCCAGGTACGGGTCAATGTTTGTCTGAGGCTTGCTGTACTCGGATGGCGTTTAGAACAGGCCTTGGCCTTCATGACGCGCCATATTGAGTAATCCAGCGGATTAGGATAGGGGCTGGATGGCGGCCACATATCCTTCGCCCAGAACGGAAGATGTTCCTGCAACCACTTCTGAGTGCGGTGCGAGGTGTGGCACGAAGCCCAATCTTGTTGAAATACAACATTTGGCTTCGGACCGTACTATTCTTTGATCCACGGAAGAACATACTTACTTAAAATCCCGATGTAGACCTCCGTGTTGACCTTGTCGCCTTCTGGAATGAACACCGGGTCCATTTTTTGCCATCGGAAGCCACCAATCCAAACACCATAACGCTAGCAGGATGCTTGGTCAGAAACACGTTCTTATGCTCGTCGGCCACGTCTTTTCCCGGAAGAGAATTAATATACCGGTCGGTTCTGGAATTTGATACGGGATCGACGGTAAACATGCTCTCGTCGGTGAACAGAATTACCGGATTTTTTCGCTTAAGGAATTTCAAGATTTTCTTGCATCGTTCGACTCGTAGCTCCCCGATGCGGTTGGTAATCATGTGAGTTTTACGAGTTTTACGCAATCTTCTTTTACGATCTTCCGTGCCGTATAGTCAGTCACTGATCCCGTGTTCCTTTGCCATTTTCCTTATTGAACGCACTGGATTCACCCGAATCTTCCTTTTTATAGCAGCGATAACATTCGGAACCCGAGCTGACCTTGGACGACCTGTGGCCAGGGTTGCTTCCACTCACATGCTATAAAACAATATTTTTCGGAATTATGCAATCAATAGATGTTATAATGGTATGCTGTTCTTTTAAGTAACAGGAAGAGGGTGTAAAGTATGTGTTTGACTCATAAAACCTGTCAATTTTGCTTTCAGAGCGTCACAATCAGCGATCTTATGATTCGTGAGCGTTCACTCTGAGTGAGCACTCACGAGTTGTAAAATCGCTGATTGTGATGGACTGAAAACAATATTGACAGATTGTATGTGTCAAACATATACTTCATAACCTCTTGTTGTAACTTACAAGTACTAATTGGCATTATACTATTTAATGATTTCGTAATTCCGAAAAATATCTTTTTATAGCAAATGAGTGGAAGCAACCCTACCTGTGGCCACCTTTGCGGATAGTTGTCCTTTCTTTTCTCGGTCTAAACCCCTTTTGACGGTCCACCGGGACACTCCCACGGCGATTGAAATGTTTTTTTGCGACATTTGCGCGTGGGACAAATCACGAATACGCTGCCACTTCGTCATGGTGCAACTGTCAAACTAAGTAAATCATTTTCTTTTATACACAGGCTACTACGGTATAAGCTATTAACCTGTTCCATACAACACAAGACACAACCGCATTGTTGACGTAGGACTACGAAATTTTTTACGGTTCGGACGTTTTCGAAGATGTCGCGCAGCAGGAGAATGCATACGATGAAGGTTTCTCAGTTAATGAAAGTGGAACGGAAAAAATTTAACCCACCGATAAGACTACAAATATAACATAATTTATTTCCTTAACAAATTATTTGATTTTTGAATCATTTTGATGTATTTAGTGACAAATTGAATGGGTGAATCATGGGTTACTCTATCTAAATTCTATTCTAACTCTTTACTGAAATGAACTTACTTGGTGGCCCTGAAAAGTGCCGTTTTGTTACGTTGGTGATAAGTTGTAACCTCCGAAACCGTACAGAGTGCGTCCCTGTCGCTTCAGAGCGTAGACGATATCCATGGCCGTGACGGTTTTGCGCTTGGCGTGTTCAGTGTAGGTGACGGCATCACGCATATTTTCTAGGAACACCTTCAGCACACCTCGGGTTTCCTCAAAGATCAGACCGGAGACGCTTGACATAACCACGTCGAGCCAGACGACGAATGGCAGGCTTGGTAGTACCCTTGATGTTTTCACCTAGAACCTTCCGATGACGCTTGGTGCCTCCTTT